ACGGGTCCGCCGGATCGGTATTGAACGGGTCCGTACCATCTACCGGAAACACGACGCCCTCCGGATCGGTAAACACGACGCCCTCCGGATCGGTATTGAACGGGTCCGTACCATCTCCCGGAAACACGACGCCCTCCGGATCGGTATTGAACGGGTCCGTACCATCTCCCGGAAACGCGACGCCCTCCGGATCGGTATTAAACGGATCCATACCCTCCGGATCGGTATTAAACGGATCCATACCGCCTCCCGAAAACGTGACGCTCCCCGGATCGGTATTGAACGGGTCCGTACCGCCTCCCGGAAAATCAACACCGCCCGGATCGATGGTTAGGGCGCCTCAACCGTCACCGCAAATCAGCGAAGCGATCGGTAGTCCCGGGTTCCCCGCGGGCAACGGCCGCGGCGAACCCGCGGTCGGTGTTGCGACGGGTCTGCCCGCGTTTTTGGCCGCGCTAAAGCCCAAATACGACTGCTTCGACGCGCGGCGATGTCGCCAGTGCCACGTGCCGTCGTCTGTCGTGCCCGCGCATTGGACCGATTCGTTTCACCGGACGTTGCACCGGCTCAGAAGCGCGGTGATGCCTCCGCCGTCGGCGTTCGCCGCCGGCCGGTCGCGGCTGTCGTACCGGGTAATCAGCATAAGACCGGAGCGGTACAACGATGAGTGGTTGCGGGGCGTGCGCCAGTACGTGGACACCGAACTCGGCTTGTCCGAGACGGGAATCCCGCGGTACACGCGGTCGGCCTACGTGTCGCTGCTGTCCGGGCCGGCCGCGTCCGTGGTCGGCTACCTGGAAGCGGAGCCCGCCGCGGTCGCGTACGTGCTCGGACCCGACGGTCAGCTCTCGGCCGCGGACACCGGGCGCCGTCGCGTCAGATACGGCGTGTCTAGACTCTGGGTGACCGTCGGGTACCGGCGCCTCGGCATCGGCACCACCATGTTGAACGCGTTCCGCGCCGACCACTCGGTCCACGGCCGGCACGTCGCGTTCGCCGCGCACGAAATTCAGTTCGGCGACGCGTTTGTGCGGCACTACTGTACCGCGGCCGCGCGACAAGATCCCGTGACCGCCTCCGCCGACGTGTTGATATACACCGACAGTTCGGCGTGGTACAAGTGACGACCCGAAAACTGCGAAGTCGTTATTAATATTATTATTTTAAAAAATCGTGCTGTACTATTACTGATGACTCAAACGAGAAAAACCTCGTAATTCGAGGAAGTAACCTAGAAATTAATAATTTATCATCGCGTAATCGTTAGGTTATGTCGTTCTGTTTTTTCCCCTCCGTGAAATTGTACACTTCACGTCAACTGTTTTCATTTATACTCGCGTCAAAGTCTCCTCAATTTATATTGCACTGCTAAAGACGTTAATTTTTTTTGTTTTTTTGTTTTGAGAACATGTAATCCGCATATAAGAACACTATAAATATCATCTACCTTACAAAAGAACACGTTTTTTTTACTCCTATTTCCATATCAAAATAAGTGCTGTGTTTTTCGGTGGTTCGTACGCTGCAAGGACGTGTTAATGACTCCATGTAAAACTCTTACAAAAATGATCTTTTTACCCGTATTTAAAACATAGTGTAAACTCCTACGTAGTCCCTTTTACCTGCCAAAAATAGATTGTTTAATCTCCTACACAGACCTTTTGAGTTAACACTATGTCAATATAGGAGATTACCTACTTTTATAGGAGTTTACTCCATGTTAATGGGTGGTGCCTCAAATCTGGGTGGCGCCCATTTTTATATAGAATTCTACATACAATTAACAATATCCTTAATATTGTTATTAAGTGTGTCACTTGTTATTTGTTTTGTTTTAAAACGGTTTGCTTGGAGCAATATAATGGATATTGGTTGCATGTAATGAGAAGAACAAGTATGTTATAATCTATTAGGTAATATAAAAGTAATAATAATTATGAAATTTTGATAGGAATTTAATAAAACTGTAAAAAAAAAAAAAAAAAAAACAGAAAATTCGGTGAATTAAGGTCACAATTATTTAAAAAGGTAAGACCTTATGACGGGGCATTTAAAAAATTGATACTCTGGGGGCCAAATGGCTCTGTTTGTTTGTATGTTTTACAATGTAAACAGTGGTGTAAATGACAATTGAAATTTGTTCATTTTGATTTCTCGCGCGTCGCACGTGATACCTATACTACAGGTACTGTATACTGATACATGTAGAATTTCATAAATAAGTACCTGTATAGAGGTTAATGGCAAGATTTTAAAGTTCTTTGAAGTAGGGAAGATTCCTTTGAACGTACTTCTGACTGTCAATACAAAAACAATTTCACGTTGAAAAACAGTAATATCCACCTAATTATTTTAACAATGTATTGTGTGTTGGTATCAGAGGAGAATTTCTACATTACCTAATAAATTAATGTTGGGTTGTGTAAATGATCGTTAATAATTTAACGAACAACTAGTTGTTTTAACGACTCGTTAAAATAATTGAGTTGCATAAATGTTTCATACATTTTAACAGACAATTAAAATTAATCGTAGTCCATTGACCATTTGTAAATCATGCGACTTCGGCTCTGTGAAGACTCAATAAATTGTGATATCATTAATTAGTTATTACTTATCAATCATTTACCTGTTTACATCGCAATATGTAACTGATCAGTCGTGATTTACCGGGCAATTAAAATTATCACAAGCCATTAGTAAATAGTTGCTGAAATACTTATCGTATGATTATCATGCAGCCTGTCATTTTTTATTGAAAAAGGTAAACCGTTAAACGTCAACGTCTAATGGACATTTTGATGCGTGTCGGTGTCGGTAGAAAATTCGAAATGTTACAACAGGATTCGAAGAGGAACATCGACCGACAGTCGCACTGCGCATTAATAATAACAAAAATAATGATAACCCAGTGATAACATACTCGTTTTTATCAGACGGTACCATAGTTTTGTAATGATACGGTTGGATCCTAACCTTATAGATAATAAAAAAATGGACTGGCCATTCCTATGCACAGATGATAATAATAATAATAACATTTTTTATTATCTATACCTAATCCAGTCCCGGTCGCCACATGCATAATTCGTTGCAGTACCTCATTAGCCGACTACCTGTCGTAAGTATACGATTACAAATTTTTGCAAATATATTGACGTTTGAATAATATAATATTTTAAATTAAACAGTTTCACTATTTCGTGTTATTTTTGTACCGCACTTTGGTCACGTTCATCGTTTCCAGGTTGTTGTTAAAGGTCGTCGAATTGTACTACACGAACATTTGATAAACTTAGTCTCATCCCACTAGACGATGGCGTCCGGAGAAACAGTGTCTGTTGACAAACTCGTTATTGGTAAGTAAAATATGAGAGTATGAGATTATTAATCCGGTTGACGTACTCGAGTACACTTCCATTAACACTGGTGAGTCAGATAGCTTTCAATTTACTTTTGTTTTTGTTCGGATTACACTTTGTTTAGAGACACGAAAGCGTTTTTATAATTTGCTGAACAATCGTATTTCCAGTTTCAATAAGTTTTAACCTCATAATCAAAATAAAAATAAAATAAATTAGCAGTTACTTAGGTTTCAGTAATACCTATACATTTTTGTGTGAAAAATTCAGGTGAATTGTACACATCTGAAAAACACGGTAACGATGAAACTGGCGACGGTTCCGAATCAAAACCGTTCAAGACTATATTGCAGGCTATGAAGTGTGCTGGCAAGGAACCTTTCCCAGTGATCTATGTGGACTCTAAAACAGAAGGCCAAGTATGTAGGTAGTGCATTATATGTATACTATGTATGTATTTTTTTTTTATGACAGGTCAAAATGTATTAACACATAAAAGTATAATTAACTACTTATAAATACTTGAATTACATTTATTTTAGAAATTTGAACCGGCCGCTAAAACTCAATTGAAGAAAAATCAAAAGTTTTGGGTCAGAGACCATCACAAGAATGCAGAAAAAGCTAAAAAGGAAGAAGAAGATGCAGCCAAAAGAAATAAGAATTTAGAAGACGCAAAAAAATTAATATTGACTGAAGATCCCACTTTACCTGCTGCAAAATTGATCAAAATCAAAAATGCTGTGGAATACCGTAATTCGAGGATTAAAGTTTACGGATGGGTGCACAGGCTCAGAAGACAAGGTACAATAGTTTTAAACTTTTAAAAGTTAAAATACATAATTTAATTTTTACTATTATAATCCAAAATTTGTATACTATTTTCTTCCTGTGGCTACCATCGTGGGTTAACTGTTGTAATTTTGTTTGTTAAATTTGTATCACATTGCTATTTAGATAATTGTTCATTGATGTATACTGATTGGGGTTGCAAAAATAACTACAATATTACACTTCTTGGACTAAAAAATACATCAAATATATTACTATGAATTTAAAATGTCACAAATTCAATTAATCCCATATTCTATTAATAAATAATTAATTTAAAGTTAATAATACTTGTCAACAATTGTTATGATATTTTTAACTCTGAATTAATTATACTTTACTTATAATGTTGTAATTTAAAATTGTTTTGATATTTAATAAATAATAAGATTGACATATTTACATAATAAACATAAGAATAAATACTGATAAATAAAACAGATTAAGAAATCAAATAGTTATTAAAACAGTAGATCTCAAAAACTATTTATACTATTTATATCTATGTTATAGAGTTATGTACTCAGTTAATTCTCGGTAAACCAATAAATTTATTATTTGTGTTTGTTTTATAATATTTGTATAATTTTTGTAGGAAAGTCTTTAATGTTTATTACCTTGAGAGATGGTACTGGATTTTTACAAACAGTCCTTAATGAAAAACTATGTCAAACATATAATGCTTTAATGTTGTCCACCGAATCATCCATATTACTTTTTGGAGTTTTAAAAGAAGTGCCCGAAGGCAAATCTGTGAGAACAACCTGATAAAAAAGTTTTTGTTGTATGTGTTTGACTATTTTATTTTCTTTTTAGGCACCAGGAGGACATGAACTTCAAGTGGATTATTGGGAATTACTTACATTAGCACCCCCAGGTGGAGCTGATTCTATTTTGAATGAAGATGCTAATCCAGATGTGCTGTTAGACAACAGGCACATTGCCATTCGCGGGGAAAATGTAATTTATTTATTTTCAATATAAAAGGTTCATTTTGTTTTTAATTATAGGGATTTGGTTTTTTTTCTTTGTAGACATCCAAAATTTTGTTAATGAGATCGGTCATAACTCAAGCGTTCCGTACGCACAATTTAGATAAAGGTTATGTGGAAGTAATGCCGCCAACGTTAGTACAAACTCAAGTGGAAGGTGGATCAACCTTGTTTAAATTGGATTACTTTGGGTGTGTAAAATTTTAGTTTTTTTTTTTTTTTTGTGAAATTTTCTTACTTCACATAATATAAAATACATAAATCATATGTTTAGACAAGAAGCTTATTTGACACAAAGTTCTCAGCTTTATTTGGAAACATGTATTCCGGCCCTTGGTGATGTATTTTGCATGGCCCAAAGTTATCGTGCCGAACAGAGTCGTACAAGAAGACATTTATCTGAGTAAAATAATCTAATCAATATACAGGTATTTTTGAAACTCACAAAACTGAATTCATTTTTTTTAGGTATACTCACGTAGAAGCTGAATTCCCATTTATTACTTTTAACGATCTACTCGATAGAATAGAAGACATGATTTGTGATGTAGTAAAACGTGTATTGGAATCGCCACATGCAGAAATTGTAAAACAGTTGAACCCTGTAAGTAGAAGTTTAGCAATTTAATGTATGTGTAAAAAATGAAATTAATTTATTAATATTTTTAGAAATTTACTGTACCAAAAAAACCTTTTAAAAGAATGGATTATAAAACTGCAATTGAATTTTTGCGTGAAAACAACATAACTAAAGAAGATGATTCATTTTATGAATTTGGAGAGGTAATTTTTGTTAAATAGTCTTTTATTTTAATAGTTTTTTCAATATTTATAAGTTTTGGATTTATTTTTAATTAGGACATTCCAGAAATGGCCGAAAGGAAAATGACCGATTTAATTAATGAGCCAATTATGTTGTGTCGTTTTCCTGCTCAGATCAAATCGTTTTATATGGCGCGTTGTCCTGAAGATAACACTCTTACTGAGTCTGTAAGTATTGATGAAAAACCAATTGTTACTTAGTAGCATTTTTTTTTTTATCAAACCATGTGGTATGTTGTCTTTAGGTGGATGTCTTGTTACCGGGTGTTGGTGAGATTGTTGGCGGCTCTATGCGTATTTGGGATCATGACGAACTGCTTGCCGGTTATAAAAGTGTTGGGATTGATCCAAAACCATATTACTGGTATACTGATCAGGTATGTCATGATAATATCGTGTTTATAGTGATATAATAAAATCTGGATAAAATGTTTGTATTTAGAGAAAATTTGGATCGTGTCCGCATGGTGGATATGGTCTGGGATTAGAGAGATTCATGTGCTGGTTGTTAAACAGATATCACATCCGCGAAGTCTGTTTGTATCCGAGATTTTTGGACAGATGTACTCCATAAGAGTACTCTAAATTTAGTCATTAACATCCTGAAACTGTGCAAAAGGTACTCTTTGCCTGAATAAAACAATTAAAATACTCTCAATATACACAAATCGGTTTAGTTATTGTTTTCTATCTTAGTCGTTTCTTATAAACAATTTTATCAGCATGAGATGTCTGATAATGTAAAAAGCATTTTCTCAAACAAAATTAAATATTTTATGATAATAGGTACAATAAAAGGTATATTATTTTGTTAATATATTTTGTCTAATGATATAAATAAAAAAAAAAAAATTGTGTTTGTGTAAGGTATAAAGTCAAATCTGTGACACTTGAGATCTTAAATTTAAAAAGATGGGTATTCGACTAAAACATGGAGTCTGGTTTTTTAATTTCTACACGGTATATTTTCAGAAAAAAGAGGTGTTACTGCTGATGGGTATGCCACAGTTAGTGGAAAGCTGGAAAGGCTATTAAAAAAATAAGCCTATTAGGTTATTTAATTTACATCTGTTCCCAACAATAAATTATTGCTGACAATAAAATATGTTTCTGAGTAAAGTATTAAAAATGTTTTGCCATACTATGTAATTTTTATGATTTTTATAAAAAAATTGAATTTAAATTTCTAATAGAAGGAATTATTACATTACATTCAGTTTTTTTTTTAATTTATTGAAAAAAAAGAATATATATATACAGAATAAATCAAAATATAACATTATCAATTATCTATCTCTTTTAAGCTAAACTTGTGTTGGAGATAGAGAGTTACAGTTTTTAAATATAAAGGTTTTTAATTATACAACCAATAAACCAAGCATATTATATATTAATATTATGTGATAAAACAAATTATATGATAAATCGAAGAAAAATAAAATAAAAATATAACAGCATATTATATACATTAAATTTATGATAAATGCCACAATAACCATTTATCTATGATTCTATTTTATTAACTTGTTTTTATAATATAATAATTTCTGTTTTGTATCAAAAACTAAAAAATTAAATATAGTAGGTCCTAAATAGTCTATGAATTTTTTACCACAAGTTGCTTTCGTGTAATTTACTTTCACATCTAATATCCTGTGTAACCTTTTATTTTTGTATAATTCTATATTGTACTTTGTATTCCTATTTTTATCTCTAATTTATAGTAAATTTTTTGTATATTGATCTTTGAGTTTTACATTAAAATCTTTATAGTTTTGATTCGTAGAACCGTAAATAAGAAAAAACAATTCTGAATGGAGTTTGGTTGATAGTGTTGCTTTGTCGACAATATATATGTTATATTATGGTAAAATAATTATATATGCATTATATATTTTCTTTAATAATAATTGTTTAATATTGTACCTATTTTCCTGTTTTTCCCATTTGTTGGGAAAATCAAAAAATTACCTCCCTAAAATATGGTGACCAGATGTACTCTTTTTTTTTTTTTGATGCATTGTTCTATGTCCTTAACATTAGTGTTAAGTACATAAAATATTGTACTCTTTTTGAAAATTATAAATATGTAGGAAATATATATTAATAAAGTTTTGTGTTTATTTATTTAAATGTTTACCTTTAAAAATTAATTTAAATATGTATACTTTAGTTTTATACCTGTGTACTTTAAGTTGACTAAAAATTACTTAAATTTCAAAGTATTTTCATCATAAAAACATAAACCAAATGAGTTGACATTATGATTTCAAATAATTAGTTTTTATAGTTGAAAATAGAAAAAATAATAATAGAATAATTGATAAAAAATAAAAAATTATATAGATGGAGATAAACTATGGGCAAAATGGGTAAAATATACACAATATACATTGGCAAATTCTTTCAAGGGAGGGGATTTTTTTTACAATGGAGGACCTAAATTTTAAAATGTATTTTGTTTTGGATTTTTTTATCTGGTCACCATATCTATAAAGTACCTCCACAGTCAAATTTCCTTTGAGAAAAAAGTGCTATCATCAGTGCTGAAACTAAAATTTAATTGAGCAAAACCGGGAAAAAACGTGGAACCAATTGTTTCATTATTTTAAATATTGTTATTTGTTGTAATTCGGTTATAATATTCGTAGAAAGCTGACATTTTCCAGAATCCTTATATTGTGAATATAAGAAGTATAATTATATTAATCTTTTTTAGACGTGGTTAAATTTTCAAAATATGTGATTTTCGAGTTGTTTTGAGTCATTTGACATTTTAGTTTTTATTTGATAGTTAATGGGTAAAATTATTTTACCAAACATACATGCTTGACAATTTATTACAAGGTTCATTATATTGTACATTTGTACGCGTAATTAGTGGTTGAGCTTAATGAATTGGTTTTTTTTATAATAGCTTTAGGATTTTAGGATCAAATATTAGGATAATTTAGGAAAATTTAAGACGAATACAGCCGAAAGCTATCTTTTTTAAAATTACAGCATTTCAAAACATTTATGTACACGCGTGTTTTAATGTACACGATTCTAATGTTGAACATTTAGTTTTATAATTGCTATACTCACTTGACGGTTTCTGGCGGTGATACGACGCATTCCGTAGTGTTATCGGTCACACTCGGACCGTCGGAAGAACTCTCGGGAGGTACAGTTTAAATCGGAGTGGCCGACGCTATTTTGAAATTATGTACACCATCGAGGCTTATTTCCAGCTACGTGTAGTATAGCGGTTTTCTGTAATTATATTTACGATTTATTGTAAACAATACGGATTTCTAAATCGCTAAAATTATCAAAACGATATAATGCGAAGTCTGTCTTTACATTCCCGGTATCAACAAAACATTGAAAAAAAAAAAATTAACCTTTGTAAAACCATTAGGTACATTTTTCGTTTCACCCGGAATCTAAAATAGACTGGGGAAAATTCGACTCTAGTGTGACGGTGTTGTGATGTTTACGGTTGTTTTTTCAATATCGTCGGTGCACTCCGGGCCGTTAAAACGCGACGGTGATTATATTATTTTTAATGAACAATAATTGAAGTTTTGACGAAAAACCGCGTTAATATTAAATTATAACCATCAATATTGTCCAAAAATACTCTAGCTGATAATTTAATAATATGCACGGGTCGAAATAAGTTCTCGAAAATGTCCAAACATTTTACCGCCCGGAGCCCGCGATTCCTGTCCCCGCCCCCCCTCCCATCCACCGGAATACGTCCCATTACCGGCCCATACCCATTTATCAGTGGGTAATTATTCGCGCGGTTTAGGATGTCGACGATATAACAACACGATACTATAGTAATAACCGTAAATACCTAGGTACTTATCTATCGGGAGGGAAAAAAAACAAAACTTGAGCGATGGACGAAGAACGGCAAATCGAAAAATAATGATTGATCGGAATCCTTGTATTATTATAATATTTCGAAAAGCCGGCGGTTTTTTTTTTTTTTTTGTTTTTATTGGAAACTCGGAAACGACGCCGAGTGCATATTATTATTATTTTTGTCGAGACGGCGGCGGAAAACGGCGCGCCGAACAAAAGCCTCGGCCCGAATATTATTATGCTCTCCGTCTCTTTCCCGTTGTCCGCGGGATAGCGCGGTGTGAATATAATAATATATCCGAAAACAATTAATAAGGTGTCAAAATTAAATGGCGGTACCCTCGAACCGTTTAATAATTCGATTTGATAGAGAAAATAATAATAATAAAAAACCGTTCGGAACTATATATACACCGGGAATGTTACCGACGTTATGTAAATAAGTAGAGACGGTTTAACTACGGCTGTTATTGACGGGTCATGAAATGACATTTCATAAATAAAAACTATTCCCGTTTCGCATAACGTTCCGAAAAAAAAAAAAAACCGTACAAACAAACAAATATGTTTTCTGTGCGTATAAATAATAAATTGTGTGGACGGAATATAAACAATAATAATCTACAAATTTGACGGCCGTTTCGTCCGTATCCGATACGTTTCGTGTATGTATATATAAAAAACAAAAAGTAACGCGTCTACACCTATTGCCGAACCCAATATGTCGCGATTACCGGAGATGCTGGGAGTGCAAGGAGCTCTCTGGTAAATCATAACGACGGACCCAAAGCCGAACGATTTGGTTAACATTTTTTTTTCTTTCTCTAAATTATTAGGTATATTCATAATCTAATATACAATATAAACAGGATAGGTATCGGGTCAGAATGGAAAAAAAATATTGATAATATACCGACGAAAACTATAATTATTGAATATTGCTGTAAATAGAATTTAGAAATTAAATGACTTATTATATAAAAATGGATTGTATTTTGATATAAACGTATTGTTGTACGAATAAAATTATAATATATCTAGACTGAACATTCAGCACGAAAACGCGTTCCGGAGGGTGGAGTTTCATTTCAAGGACAGAAAAACGTGAGATAATAAACGAAGTGTTTTAATCGGCTGTCTTCGTAATTGCTCTCTTTCACACTAGGCTTTATATTAGTTTATGTCTCTCGGTCCTTTCGAACTGGTAAAAGCCTCATCACGCTTTCCTCGGTAGCTAATTAAATGGTACATTAGGTTGCGTTCCATAATTCCATGGTTCCATGATCTATGGTGTTGGGATGCCTATTCACAACCAGTACGGCGGGAAGGAGCTTACGTTGCCTATCCTCAAACGGAACGGTAAAGGTGATCGGTTCTTTTCAAACCGATTTGGTCTTTAGGTATACATCGCGTTTGTCGTTTCTCGCCTTAACAATGTACTAAAGAAAATCAATAATAAACTAGAATATAAACTTTAAACCTTCGGTGTTTAAATTATTTACGCTAACGACGGCCACTCGGTCGGTACGTTACAGCATTTGAAATATAATAATGTTTATACAATCAAAGAGCGAATCGAGCAGTATTTTTTATGGGCCTTTGGTTCATAGGCGATGGGTCCCATAATATTGACTTGCACGCCTACCAATATACACCAAGTTATGGCACCGAATTCCATGTTAAAGTTAAGCCTTGGCCCTAATCTTTTTAAAAATTAAGAAATTTAATTGGCCGTTTAATTTGGGCCAAAGCTTAGTTGTCGAAACGAATGAACACTTCATTACAAATATCAACACTTACGTTAACCGTAATTTCGGGTATAAAATATACTGTGTTTAGTTGTTGGGGCTTCTTGAAATGCATTTCGCCCGACTGAATTTTTAGGATTCTGGCGCCACTGTGAATATAATGCCAAAATCAAAACAACAATAAAAAAAAAAAGCTGTCCTAGGATAACGGGAACGGGTTTAGCCACTGTTATTGGTGAGAAGTTGGGAATGTAGTAGAGGGGAAATTTAATGTATATCTGTAAGCAACGATAAACCATTGCTAACGAAAAACGATTTTGAGCGGAGTTCGGTTGAAGTGTAGCTTTGTCAGCAATATATATGTTATATTATGGTAAAATAATTACATATACACTATAAATTTTATTTAATAATTTTATGTTAAATATTGTACCCATTTTCCCGTATTCCTCATATTTTCCCTCTGTTTTTTTCCATTTATTGGGAAAATTTAAAAGTGACTTCCCTAAAGTACCTCTCTAGTCAGATTTCCTTATGGAAAAAGTGCTATCATTGTAAATCGGTGCGAAATTGCCGGTACAAAAGTTGTTCACAAGAAAAAAAGAAGGTCGTAATATTTTCAACTAATAGGTACCTACGTTTCGTATATTTCTAAAAGAGCCGACAGATGTGCCACTGCTGTATATGGGAATATGGGAAGTTGAACTGTTAAGTAGCTCGGTCCACGTAATATTACCATGACGCGTGCATCATAATAATAAGTTTCAGCTAGAATATTGTAATATCGTATAGGTAGGTATAGTGTAACTATAGTATAGGTATAGTATAGCTACCTACCTAAAACGTGCAACATAATATTCGGTCGTAACCCAAAATATGTTAATAATTAAAATTTGGACGCAATCACGTCGACTCATATTACGTATTCATCAAAACGTAACATATTGTAACGCGTGTACGTAAAAGCCAAAGTTTTGACGTTTATAAAAGCGTTATTATTTACGACGGTTTTCTTTTCATCGTCATCGTAATATTATTATATTATAAGAACGCATTTTGAGATTTCTCCGTTCAAATTTATACCTACGCAATACGCATATATTATTAGTTATTACGTATTTATGTGCACCGATAGTATAGGTTTATGTCATACCTCCCTATCTATACATTTGAATAAACATCCTTTGTAAATGCACGTTTGTACTGCAATGTACCTACGCTTGCAGTGTACGCCAGTGACGTAACCAGGGTTTTTCTATTGAGTGGGTTTGATAATTATATACACATCGATGGGTTAACTAGGGTCTCCTATAAGTTTAGCACACTGATTCCGGGGTTTTATTTTAGGTTTTGGTCTTTGTATGAAGTAAAACGTTTACCTATAACTACGTTTTTAGTACTCACCTATAACGTACTTAATCACGCTACCAGTCTTTATTCAGTGACTATTAATAGTCTACTAACGTGATAGCAATAAATAAATTTAAAAAAAAAAACCCGTATGTGACGATATTATTTCGTACCGTCTCGAAATAGAAAAAAAAATTTTTATTACTCTATGGTGTTTAGGTACTCAAAATGTATTGAACAGTAGTAAAACTTTGCCCGTGAACAAAAAGTTAAGCCAACAATTTAAAATCAGATTGGTTAATTATAAATTAAGATATTTGCACCGATTTTTATGAATCATAAAAATAATTGTTTAACTCGCTCAACATTTCTATGGGTGCTACAGATCACTCAGTTCCCCCTGGCTATGCCACTGATTTACATTATTGAAATAGTTATAGGTAGGTATATAAGGGAGATGGTATTTTACGCCAATTTTATTACTTGTAATTTGCGTCGACATACATAAATATAACATGTATTTTGCGCTACATTTAAAAATTAATTTGCGCCAGGACAGAAAACGAAATGGAATATGTAATATGCGCCATACTTTTAACTTCAATTGTTGGAATTTACCAGCTGAAAATAATTTACTCATATTGCATCGATATAATATAATATATTGTTATGTTCTACAAATAATAAGTAGAGACGAAATCGATTACGTCTAATTTAAGTCTAATCTAATAAAAATTATACATAAAGTGCGTATACTTATATACATTTAATTAAAATTATAATATTAGTGAGTTTTTTTTATGTTTCATTAGTTATTACTAACCGAACATTTACGAACAATAACGTGCAAAGTATTATTTATCTTATTTATTTATTTTTGTTTGAATTTACTGGCTGGGCCCTTGTGTACAGTTAGCGTAAGAATACAGGTGCATGGTTAAAAACAACAAATGTAACAATATTAAATATGAAATTATTAAGCGCAAGATAAATATAGAAATTAAGAATGTTATATACCATTAAAGCAAATTATTAAGAGACAATGATAAAAACGAAATTAAGAGTATAAAATATAACAAAACAACAGTAATGAAAAATATCAAAATATTTAAACTAAATGGGTGGTTAAAAAAGAAAAGTGGGGTCGGTATTGGCATTATACAACATACGTCTAATAGGCTCATTTTCCAAGTAGTTGGTGGAACAGAGAGGAACATGGAATGGCGTAATTGAACAAGTGATACGAGGAGAAAATTTACAATTAATTAAGGAGAGTAAAGTTGGGGAATCGACTCTACCATATAATAGTTTTTTTAAGAAGTTAGCACCCATAATTCGCTTACAGTCAACCAGTGAGGCTAAATCAAGCTAAGTGGCGACTGGAGTGTAGTCATGTGGTGCACAATTGTTGTCTGAAAAGTAGCTGGTGAATCGAAATAACCTACGCTGTACCCTTTCAACCTGGCAAGTATTTTCGGCGGTGTACGGATCCCAAATTATGGAAACATATTCAATAATTGGCCGGACTAATGAACAGTATAGCACTTTAAGTGAGGAAGTTAGCTTAAAATCCCTCGAGAGTCTCATTATAATGCCCAAAACTCTTAGAGCTATTATATTTTAGTACCCACCCCGGCCCTTCATAAAATACTTATAGTTCTTATAATTGGTTTTGTTATCATTCGCTTGGACAAATGTCCATGAGTCAATTGATGGAAAACAAATAAACATCCATATATTATTATTAACTCATGGTTTCGTGGTGTTAGAAAAAGCCCCAGTCTAATACAATATGTACATTGTGAAGGTATAACTTGTATTAATACTTAATGCCTGTGACTTGAATTTGAATTATTTCTTTTTTAATAAGAACTTTCTCATCTGCTTAAGCGAATTAGCTCTCCTCAATATACACAGATGATATGTGTTGGTATTACGGTTAGGTTAGGTGTATTAGACGTATATTGATATTGATAAAACGGCGGTTGAATTTTTCTCTATGGCTATTGCATAAATTATTTTAAGTACCTAAAACAAGTGTAAAATTATAATGTATAAACAAATAATTTCCTTTTATCATTCGAAGTCTTATGAAATTTTGTGTTAATAATATAATCCGGCATTAAGTATATTACTATTGTATATTTGAATTGTTATTACAGTTCTTTTTTCCGTTGTGATCGTTTCACTATAGTATTACGCAAATTTCATTAATCATTAGGGTATATATGTAACTTAACATTTGTGTTTTGTTGTGCAATAAAATCATTTATTATGTTTGGACCACCTTCTCCCCTCATCATCATTTGACAAAACCGAGTTGCGCCATTGGTATTATATTTATATATTATAACTCGCGCGTATAAATCTGGTCGCTACACATCGTTTCCGACTGGACCGGATATACCTACTTAATATTTAGTTTTAGCATAAATTATTATTATCATTGTATTTTACATCACATAGGGAGCTGGCGGGGTACACTGTGCGTTAAAGAACAATCGTGATAAATTAATAATTAACCCGACTTAAAGTGACCTTTCGTCCGCGTACATACAATACTACAGGGTGATATATAATATGATCCGATGATTCCATCAAAGGATTTAAAGTGAACTTGATTTATATACTTCTGTATTTATTTTGTATACCTTAAATGAGTACCTATTATAAGTACGTACACTTACAGTTTGGATTTTTACCTCTTCCATTTTAAAACGTAGGTACGAATAGAGATAATTTTTCTAAAAATGTCGATATGCGTAACATACTTGTATCGGATTTACCGTTAACTAGTTTTAAGTGTAATAAACTTAGAACTTATACCAGTGTACAATTTTCACTAGATAAGTATGGAAGTGTTATCGATTTATCATCTAAAATCCGTTAAGAATTCCTCCTACTTTTCCTGTCTAAATTTTAAATGGCTCAACTCATATCAAATGGTATATCAATTAATATCAACGGTAAATTTAAAGTGATATTGATTTAAGATATAAGGAGTAATAGGGGTAAAGTTTGAAAATAATGATTAAATGATTCAAAATAATATTATTACCAAAAGAAATCAAATTCGCTTAAAATCCTACGGGAATCTCGCCGGATCATGATAAATGGATCACCCTTTATATAGTAACCTAGTATAGTTCTATAAGTTTAATGAGTCAATGTGGTCCGTCGAACCTCTTTCCTTTTCTCTTTGCTGCTGCTGTTCGCTGTATACGATTTAAACTTCGCGGTAACGCCAATGTTGATTGTTTGCCAAAGCCAAACCGACAACTACTTGTTGTTATACTGCTGTAATATGTACCTACTTAATTATACCGTACAGTGGCGTACTTTGGTCTTTTTTTTCGGGGGGGGGGCGGGGGTATCCTGACTCCTGACAATACTTTTTCTCCACAAATATTAACATAGCTTCATCACGAATTCATATCTGATTATAATATACCTTAAAACCATATAAGTGGTAATTTTCTTGTAAAAAAAATCTTAGGAATACTACTTACATTTTTAATTATAATAAAATTATGACAGGAATAAACTATAAATGACTTGACTGAATAAATTAAAACTAATTTAACATTTTAATTTATTGAGTAATTTCAGTTTAATTAATTTTGTATATTCGTATAATCACAATGTATTTGTGTAATACACATAAACCTAATATTATTACAGTTTGGTAATTTCCAATTATTATTAATTCATGGTAGAAATGTTCAAAGCAGTTTTAAAATATTTCGTCATCCGTCAACAATATTTTGCGATACTTCAGTAATGAACAGAACTAGAGAAAAATATTGAAGGGGGGGTAACCCTCAGGACACCTCCCTTAAATTCGCCACTAATACCGTATATGAATAGACGCACATGGACAGCACACCTTCACGAACTCTTTATTCTCTCTGGATAATGTCGTTTCAGAGCGTAACCGCGACCATGCTTCAGTTCTGCAAGAATCGTATAATATATAATATATATATTATGGTGTTCCTCATTTGAGTTCCTAAGGGAAAAAAACTACTTCAAAATAATTTTTAAAAAAAATCCCATACTTTTTTAAATTTTTATTTTGATGCTAGATAACGCTCCACGGGATTTGAATTTTCTCATTTAAAATACAAGTGTTTTTATAATGTTTAAGATTTTAATTTATGCTCAGTCTATCCGAAAAAATCGCCAAAACTGGTGGAATTGACTAACAATACTACCCTTGTTCGAAGTAAACAAAAAAACTCATTTTGACGGAGTTATAAAATACATAAATTTAAAAATTATTAAAAACGAACACATGTACAACTCCGTCAAAATTAGTTTTTTCCCACTTGAATAAGGGTATTAGGCTACTACCTAATCTATTGTTACCAGTTTATCTTACAAACGCATACAACATAAACAATTTGCGTTCAGCAGAGACAACTTTGGGTTTTTAGTTTTAATATTAGAGTGAACTGACCTATCATAAAATTTAACCTAAAAAGTTAAGGATAACTAAGAACACGATATCTATGCAACCGTGTACGTTTTTTTTCGATATTTTAATTTTTAAGCGAGGTATGATTATGTGAATTATCACACATGTATTATAAAAATTGCACATTATTTTTACGCTCTTTGTTACACCATGCGGAGTTGAAAAAACCTCATCACTTATAAGGGTTATAAATTATTTAAAGTACATTATGGAAATGTGGATGTGAAGTAGATTATTGAAAGTCAGTTGGACCAACTTGATCAAAAATGCAAAAAAAGTCACATGTCATTTTTTGATTTGAGCAAGGTATATGGTAGTAAAGTACACCAACACAAAATATAAAAAAAAAAATTTCAATTAAAGTATGTCACGATCAGCATCTAAAAAATACATCACAGTAATACTATGATATATCACTCCGTTCAGAATCTAAAAAAATGACAAAACTATAAAATGAGGTTTTCGGGAAAAAATTGAATAGTCTGCGATGATAGCGATAACTCGTAAGTAATTTAGTTTTTACGT